GCGTAACTGGTAGGGCATTGTCGTGGCGGACGCTTGAGCGCAACGCTGGGTGGACATGGCTTCTGGTACTGCACGACTCGCCGTGCACTGGCTGGCTCCGAAGCCGCGATCCGTTCGTTCACCCTTGTGAGCTTGTAAACGCGCTTGAGCAGGAACGCGGCAAATGCGTCAATGTCACACTGGGTGTCGTCCTGCTTCTCAAAGTAAGCTGAAAGGACCGAGCTTGGCACCTTCTGCGTCACTGAGAGATACAGCTCTCGTCCGGGCACTATCCTGGCCACCCGCAGGTTCAACGGCGTGTTCCTCAGCTTGATGGCCAGCGTCTTCAGCTCATCCAGCTCGCGCTCCGTATTGATCCGCAGCCAAGTCATGAGCTCGCGTTCCTGCTGCTCGAGGCTACGGTCTATGCCCCCGTACCACCAATCCAGCTCCTCCATGATGGATGAGTAGGCGCCCGGGCCATCTAGCACATCCGCGATCAGGTCCTCGGCCGCTCCGTCCACCAGTGCCTCCCGCAAGTGTGCGAGCTTATAATCCTCTGCTAAGAGTGGGTTCTCGTGTACTAGACGGAGAAACCGCTGACGCCACTTCACATATGGCAGCATCTTGCCATCGAACTTTGGCAAGTCCAGTGGCTTCAGAGACCTGCAGAATCCCATCTGGAACATAGCCGCCCCGTCTGCCCAGTCGACTGCTGGGTCGGTCGCCCTGGTGGGCGGGAAGTAGGGTTCCGCTGCAGGGTGCAGTCCTGCTTCCTTGGGCTTGAAGGCCTGCTGGACTGGACCGAGTCGCAAAGGCACTGGCGGGACTGGTAAACGTCTGGGCTTCACACGTGGGGCTTGTGTTGGAGCTGGTCGATACTTGAGCAGGCTCGCTCTCAGCAATGGAGCTGAGGCGTTGGGTTGTACTGCAGGCTGCACTGGCTGTTGCATGTTCGGCTGCATGGGCTGCTGTGCAGGCTGTGACCCAGACCACTGTTCTAACCTGAGCCTGCGATGACCCACCACACCAGCACCTGCGTTGCTGAAGGCACTTCGACTAAAGTGGTTGGCCAGCCTGCGCGTGGCCTCTGCGTCCGATCGCGCGCGACGATTTCCCATGCCACATGGCCAGCTCCCACCATCGACATCCCCGCTCTCTAGCTCTGAGCTCTCTGGCTCTGAGCTTGAGGTATCCACAGCAGAACTTCGCGCTGACATGGCACTGCTCGCGCTGGCCAACTCCTCCGCCGCCCTCGCCTGCTCGACTTCGAGCTCCGTTTTCGTCAGGTCGATTTGGAGGTCGATCTCCTGCTGCTTCAGAGCGGCGATCCACCGTGCAGCCTCCAGTTCTGCCTCCTTGTTCCTACGCAATATCGCAGCTTCAAGTTCAATGCCCCCAAGGCTCTCGCTCGCGGACGTCCTGCCGCCGCTCCTGCGTCCCGACCGCCTCAGCTCTTGAGCCTGCTCCCCATCGGAGAAGAACCGCTTGGGCATCTTACCTAGGGTTCTCCTGCTACTCTTTCGTGGGAACTCCATGTCAGGCAACGGAAACAGAGACTTTCTGCTGGTCGTGACCCGGCTCAAAGGACCAGTTTATGGCCAGCTCTCTGTCTGGCTCGCTTTACTGGATTCTAGACTGTATCACTTCAGGCTCAACTCACATTGCAAACTTCCTTGTGTTTCCAACTTACTAACGAAAGAAGACTCGGCCGAAAGGAAAAGCACCATGGTATATAACACAGCAGGGCAACATAAAAGGCACAGCAGGGCGGCATAAAAGGCACATGTGAAACGTCGACCCATGCAAATGAGGGCCGCTCTATCGCTTGGCATGAATGCGTACAAAGAGAGCGTAAGCAGACAGCTTTGTCGTGCACTAAGATGCCGACGCGCGTGAATGTAACACAGCACGACAATGAACATGACAGCCAGACTACTCCAGACATGAATGCAGGAAACCAGTACACGCGATCAACCTTTGCATTTTGAAATTAATATTTTGGTTACAAACGCACCTCTGCGTCTGCCCTCCGCGTCATTAAGATTGTCGCTTCCCGGAGCGATTTTTCGAATTTATTTTGTCCACTTGAAGGGCAAAGAAATCAGCTAGAAATTGAGGCAGAGCATTGTCGACGGACCAAGTTTTAGTTTGTGGCCTCCCGCTTCGCTGCACTTGCAGCTTAGGTCGACCTCTTCATCAGAGTTTGAGGCAGACCCTTCAGCACTCAACAATACGCTGAAGAAGAAGCGCGTTCAAATTCAGGTCAAGAAGCTTCGTTTTCAAGCGATCTATGCCTCCAGGTGGCAGGCGATGAAAGAAAGCTAGCATTTTTCAAGTACACTGTAACGACCTTCCAGCGGGATAGGGTAAGCAGTTCCGCACTTTCTTTCCTTGGCAAGCACTTCGCTGATTTTGTCGGTGTTTTCAGACCTGCTACCTTCGCAGCAACATGCGCCAAAAGTAGCGCATTTTAGGAATTTGAGACCACTTTGTTCTTGCCATCGTCAACTTCAGCATTTCGTATTCAGGAGAGATACCAGGATTCTTATTCCCGAGCTTGAAGTCTTGATAAATGCCCACGCGAACGATGTGGGACGGCACGAACTCCAGAAAACGAAATGCGCTCTGGGACGGAATAGTGCGGAGCGCGATGAATTTGCTTGGTGCGGAAGAGAGCTCCGACAAAGTCAGAGACCACCACGGCTTCAGTAACAAGTAGACATTGCACAGGAAGGGTCGCACCAGTGTTCGAACACAGAAAACAGCGATTCCGACAGTCTGACTGAGACGGGCAAAGTCACAAATATTGTGATGTGCGAAGCGACAATTTTAATGATGCGGAGGAAGTACCTAATTGCTGTTGGTGGTCATCCTGCAGCTTGAACAAAGGAAAATGTCCTCCAATTCCTCATACAAATGCCACAACAGTGATGTGAAGTTTGCTACCAGATTTGAGCTCTTGACAACTTGTATTCTTGTTTGCCCAGACCCTTTGGGAAGGGGAAGCTCAGCTCTGGACGCACAGGCTCAGGACCCAAGTGAAGGTGGCATGCTTTCTCCGCTATAATACAGGATCAACTACAATTAATTCCCGTAGCTATGCAGAAGACGTTACTTCAGTAACGTCTGGCGCTAGCCAGGGTCCACACAGCCTTAATTTGGTATTTGTGTGTTTGTTTGTTTGTGTCACGCCTGGCGCTATTCCGTATCTGTCCCGTACCGTACCGTACCATCAAACACAGCTGGCCACATACAGCTGGCCGCAATATTCAAATAGGGCTTTCAAACGCAAGATCATAACGTGAAGCAACTTGGAAGAATGGGTATGAATGCGAAGTGTATGGGGGAATGCATGTAGGGCGTTAGTGCGGGTTCGAATCCCAGGATATGCCTGAAAAAAAAATAGGAGAATTGAAAAATTTATAACATCCCTATGCTTTTTTTGCCGTCATCAAGGCGGTAGGCGGTGTCGTATTACCCTCGATCGTACAGTAGGTATCGGTTATAGCGTGGGTGTTTGAAAAACGGCATTTGATTCTTATTGCCGATATTTCTTACACACGATAAATCACGTGTGACATAATTATCATAATGCACGTGTGACATTATCATATGCACGTGTGACATAATCATATGCGCATGCGCGCACGTTTGGCATGTGGACACGTACACACGGATCAGACTCGCGGTCGACCGGTCGTGCTAGGCGACCAGACTGCGGAGCAGCAGATGCGAGAGAAGTCGGAAGAAAGAGTCCGACTGGACAGAAAGAGTGATTCTCCAATGCTCCCTTGGACATAACTCTCTTTTTGTGTTGACTGTTATTGTATTGGGTATGCACAGAGCACAGATGTTATTACTACAGGCGATACACTTTGCACTAATCTGGCATATTTTGCTGCATAAAATCCATTCTTAGGGCCGATATATTCTACTATGCGATAATACTGCTTGTAAGAATAAATATACACATAAATATGTGTTATGATTATGAAAAAATGAGTGTTCATTCTTGTAGGCAGTATATTCTTGTATACGACCACACTATAACCGATACGCACTGTACCTGTCCCGTACCTATCCCGTACCGTACCGTACCATCAAAGACGGCTGGCCACAATGCATATTCAAATAGGGCTTTCAAATGCAAGATCATAATGTGAAGCAACTTGGAAGAATTAGTATGTATGCGAAGTGTATCGGGGGATGCATGCAGGGCGCGCAATAGTGCGGTTTCGAATCCAAGGTTATGTCTTTAAGAAAAGGATTTTTTTAAGAATTTATAACATCCCTATGCTTTGTTCTGTCTAGGTCATCAGGGCAAAAAAGCATAGCGTAGGGCCCTGAGCTTCCAAGCTCTCTCGTTAATGGTCATACTCAAAAGCCTGAAATGCAATCCCGCAGTATAGGCGAAGAAGCCAGAATTTTTGTGGCTAGTGCGTTTTGTTTGACTTCACAGTTTTTCTACCAACAAGCATGACACGCTTCCCCAGCACAGCTAGATTGCCTTCTGAAGTTCTGGTTACAGCGCTCACACAGTCACTCCACAATGCCGGCTCGCATGCTGTGGATAGCGGTGTGCTTGGGAAATGATGAGAAAATGGATCGTTGCGGTTGCAAATGTTGGTCCGTCCTTGGCCAGACTGGCCCGAACAGTTCCACCGCCCCTGCGATGCATGTGTTGCCACTAGTCTTCTGCGTGGTCTGTAAACGTGATGTCTCAATGTACATGACTGAACTGGAAATGTTGCAGACCACGTCAACAATGAGTGAATTTCAAGCATGTTAGAGTCCTAGATTCGTAGACTTCTATTTTTATTGCTCGACTGCCTGCATGCACTACACCAGGCTTTGTCGCCATTGTCGTCAGTGAAAGTACATGCAGTAGATCTGGAATCTACTAAGTACATGACTGTACGAGTGGATATCCTATTCCATGCCAGGGTAATGACTGAGAGCGGGAAATTCGTGTCTTTCAAAGCAGATTAGTGATATGAGCACAAGCATTCCGTCCTTACCTGGGCTGAACGTCTGCTGTCCAGTCGCAGTTAGCATCAACACACACCAAACACTGACCACCGAAAGGAACGAGGTGGACAACCGCCGCTCCGCCATATCTCTCCGGGCCGCCACGGCTTCGATGATCCGGCCTCCGATCTGTGAACGACTTCAATCGCACTCCTGCTTCCTTCGGGAGCCTTTCGACGCACGGCAAGCCCTTCCCTCAAGCAAGATACTCATGTTAGAAAGATATTGGGATGGGCTGTCGCACACAGTACACGAAGCGCCTGTATCAATCACTTTTCTTCTTCTTCGAAACTCCAGTCATTGAAGGTTGTCGATTGAAGTAAGTTTGAAGAACATGCGCTCTGCCGTTGGCAGTGCGCTGACGGATAATGTCTTCCGGGGCGGCCGGCCACGCGCGAGTTTGACTCGGACCCGTGCACTAACGAAATCGACGCAACCTGACTGTGACTGGCACGCGCAACGGTCAAACTCAAAACCTGTTATAGTATATCTACCATGTCGCACACTGTCGCTCTTACTAGTCTTAGCCGGTAGAGCCAGATCATGAGCCTCTTCATGTCCGCGGTAAAATAATATGGGAGAGGTGCAATATGCTGGGCCTGGGGTGGGTAGGTCTACCGTATTATCTCTAATATAAGCACAGTCTCCAATAATAGCACGTCTCCAATAATAGAACACCTTGGGGCGGCATTCAAAAAATAAAGTGCTCAGTCTCCATTATAACTAATATAAGCACACTGTGTAAATTCATTATCTGTACCGGCGAAAAACCCCTGAAATGTGTGTGTCTGATATGAATTTGGCATGGCAACATGCCTCTGAAATGAGGTTGAAATAATAATGGAACAGTCTCCAATAAAGGAATGTCTCCATTAATAGCACGGGGCGGAGGTACATTGAAAAAATAAAGGACCGTGCTTATATTAGAGATAATACGGTATGTGTAGTTATGCTAAGTCAGTTCCAAAAACCGTCCACAATAACAATAGGATCTTGATGCTGTCTACGCAATAATAATAATAGTACAGGTCGCATGTCTCCCAAATAATGGGTTCCACGCATCTGTCAACTGTTTCATCATGAAATAGATTGCAGCAGGAAGAATAGCATACGAAAAAACCATATACGGGTTCTAGCACATGACAAGTACATGCCATTTTTTACACCGATGTACATTAAATTGTCAATGAAGTCCAGCCATAGCTTTTTGTCCCGTGCAGTGTTGAGGCAATCCTCGAACGTGTGTCCGAGAGGGGAGATGTCGGATTTCACCACATTAATCCACCGAAGCCTCGGTCGTCCTCGTGGACGCTTGATCTTTGACGTGTCGATGGCCATGGCTAGCGCGCCATAGGAAGCCGTGCCCGGACCTTCCCGAACAACATGGCCGAACCATAGGAGACGTCTTCTCTTGCAAACCCTGCTGATTGGTTGCTGTTTTGATTTTTCATACAGGATTTGGTTGGATATGCAGTGCGGGTAGTGGACCCCGAAGACATAACGGAGCTTCCTTCTCTGCCATACATCTAGCTGTTCATTCTGTCGCTTCGTGAGGGTCCACAGGCCGCAGTTATACAGCAGCACTGGAACAATGAGAACCGAGAACATGCAAAGCCGTGAGTCCAGGCAATGCCGCTTCCATGCTATCGAGCCGAATGCTCGGTTCGCTGCACCGATCCTGGCTGCCACATCCTCCGTGGAGTCCAGCAAGGAACCAAGGAGCTTGATCGTTTTCCACGATGCATCAGTGCGGGAAGCAGTTAAAGGGGAAGTTAAGGCAAAAATTAAAATTTCACCAGTTGTAGTCTTCGGGGTGCTGAGTCGAATGGTCTTGGTCCGAGGAAGCTGAGACGCTCCCTTCCTACTTGAATCCCAATCGAACTCGCGCACTTCCACCGAAACTGGTTGACTGCGCCCTACTAGATGGGGATTTGTATGCAAAATGTCACTAAAAGCGCCATTTCGTTCTTATAAAAGCACGGATGACCGCGATTGGCCCATATGTTGTAGTCTTTTGGACGCTGAGTCGACTGGTTTTGGTTCGAAAAGGCTGCGATGCGGCGTTCCTCCTTTATTCCCAATCGAACATGGTTGAAGAAGCGGTCACGTGCTCCTGCGTACACCAGTCAGCTGGTCACCGTGCCTGCAGGGTACAACTTACTAGCCTGTTTGACCTTTTTTGGGTGCAGTCCTGTCACTCGAGTTGAACCTTGGTGTGAAAGTTGTCACCTGCTGGCGTGGTGACCAGGTGATTTGGGCACCCAGGACCACGTGACCGCTTCTTCAACCATGTTCGATTGGGAATAAAGGAGGAACGCCGCATCGCAGCCTTTTCGGACCAAAACCAGTCGACTCAGCGTCCAAAAGACTACAACATATGGGCCAATCGCGGTCATCCGTGCTTTTATAAGAACGAAATGGCGCTTTTAGTGACATTTTGCATACAAATCCCCATCTAGTAGGGCGCAGTCAACCAGTTTCGGTGGAAGTGCGCGAGTTCGATTGGGATTCAAGTAGGAAGGGAGCGTCTCAGCTTCCTCGGACCAAGACCATTCGACTCAGCACCCCGAAGACTACAACTGGTGAAATTTTAATTTTTGCCTTAACTTCCCCTTTAAAGGGGAAGTCAAGGCAAAAATTAAAATTTCACCAGCTGTAGTCTTCGGGGTGCTGAGTCGAATGGTCTTGGTCCGAGAAAGCTGAGACGCTCCCTTCCTACTTGAATCCCAATCGAACTCGCGCACGTCCACCGAAACTGGGTGACTGCGCCCTACTGGGGATTTGTATGCAAAATGTCACTAAAAGCGCCGTTTCGTTCTTATAAAAGCACGGATGACCGCGATTGGCCCATATGTTGTAGTCTTTTGGACGCTGAGTCGACTGGTTTTGGTCCGAAAAGGCTGCGATGCAGCGTTCCTCCTTCCCAATCGACTATGGTTGAACAAGTGGTCACGTGCTCCTGGGTGCCCAAATCACCCTAGTGTGCAGAATTTTGCTCCAAGTCCAAAAAATCAGGTTTTTGAGCCACGTATTGGCCGTGCAGCATGACTTTTGCCAGCACCCTCGTGACGTTGCAGATGCGTGGCTTGATTATTGTAGTTGACGTTGATTTTGACTTTGGCAAGTTTGAGTCGTGTCAAGAAGTCAGGTAGGATTCAGTACTAGGCAGTAGTGAAACGTGAGTGGTAGTCTTTGCCGGTTTCTGAGGGTATCCTGGATTTGGTGTGCAGCGCTGTGGAAATGGCTTGCTGTTGAGGTCCCAGCACTGGATGTTGTATCAAAGGTACGACCTCGTAGCACGTGCTAAACCTAAAAAAAATTCAAAAATTGACTTGGGTCTGTGTGAGTGTGTGAGAGAACGCCCACTCGTTCCGTTGTGACAGATTCCAGGGCCTCGTTGAGGGGCCCTACCCCATCACCCATGGCTGCTTCTGGACTTGTTCTAGGTTTGGGTCCCGCGCACGGACAGAATGAGCACGAAAATGTGAAAACAATTGTAAATGCATTTGTTTGGCTCCTGGGTGGCTCGCACACCGTGGCACTATGCCGGAAATTTGAGTTTTTCCGGCCTGGAAAGCCTGTCAGTGAGGCGCAAGAACTTGTAAATCATGTCCTGAGGGCCAGCATAGTGGCAGGAGTGTGTGGTCAAAATTTCACTCAAATCCATTAAGGAAACACCAAAGTTACGGTCAATTGAATGCCATATGAAATTTATGGGTAGGCTGCCCCCTTAACTTCCCCTTTAAATATACGGTTTTTTGTACGTTAAAGGGGAAGTATACCCTAAAATCAAATTTTCACCAGTTGTAGTCTTCTGGGTGCTGAGTCGAATGGTCTTGGTCCGAGGAAGCTGCGACGCTCCCTTCCTACTTGAATCCCAATCGAACTCGCGCACTTCCACCGAAACTGGGTGACTGCGCCCTACTAGATGGGGATTTGTATGCAAAATGTCACTAAAAGCGCCATTTCGTTCTTATAAAAGCACGGATGACCGCGATTGGCCCATATGTTGTAGTCTTTTGGACGCTGAGTCGACTGGTTTTGGTCCGAAAAGGCTGCGATGCAGCGTTCCTCCTTTATTCCCAATCGAACATGGTGGAACAAGCGGTCACGTGCTCCTGGGTGCCCAAATCACCTGGTCACCACGCCAGCAGGCGACAAATTTCACACCAAGGTTCAACTCGAGTTCAACTCGAGTGACAGGAGTGCACCCAAAAAAGGTCAAACAGGCTAGTAAGTTGTACCCTGCAGGCACGGTGACCAGGTGACTGGTGTACGCAGGAACACGTGACCGCTTGTTCAACCATGTTCGATTGGGAATAAAGGAGGAACGCTACATCGCAGCCTTTTCGGACCAAAACCAGTCGACTCAGCGTCCAAAAGACTACAACATATGGGCCAATCGCGTTCATCCGTGCTTTCATAAGAACGAAATGGCGCTTTTAGTGACATTTTGCATACAAATCCCCATCTAGTAGGGCGCAGTCACCCAGTTTCGGTGGAAGTGCGCGAGTTCGATTGGGATTCAAGTAGGAAGGGAGCGTCTCAGCTTCCTCGGACCGAGACCATTCGACTCAGCACCCCGAAGACTACAACGGGTGAAAATTTGATTTTAGGGTATACTTCCCCTTTAAAGGGGAAGTTAAGGCAAAAAAAAATTTCACCAGTTGTAGTCTTCGGGGTGCTGAGTCGAATGGTCTTGGTCCGAGAAAGCTGAGACGCTCCCTTCCTACTTGAATCCCAATCGAACTCGCGCACGTCCACCGAAACTGGGTGACTGCGCCCTACTAGATGGGGATTTGTATGCAAAATGTCACTAAAAGCGCCGTTTCGTTCTTATAAAAGCACGGATGACCGCGATTGGCCCATATGTTGTAGTCTTTTGGACGTTGAGTCGACTGGTTTTGGTCCGAAAAGGCTGCGATGCAGCGTTCCTCCTTTATTCCCAATCGAACATGGTTGAACAAGCGGTCACGTGCTCCTGGGTGCCCAAATCACCTGGTCACCACGCCAGCAGGCGACAACTTTCACACCAAGGTTCAACTCGAGTTCAACTCGAGTGACAGGACTGCACCCAAAAAAGGTCAAACAGGCTAGTAAGTTGTACCCTGTAGGCACGGTGACCAGCTGACTGGTGTACGCAGGAGCACGTGACCGCTTGTTCAACCATGTTCGATTGGGAATAAAGGAGGAACGCTGCATCTCAGCCTTTTCGGACCGAAGCCAGTCGACTTAGCGTCCAAAAGACTGCAACATATGGGCCAATCGCGGTCATCCGCGCTTTTATAAGAACGAAACGGCGCTTTTAGTGACATTTTGCATACAAATCCCCATCTAGTAGGGCGCAGTCACCCAGTTTCGGTGGAAGTGCGCGAGTTC